TCAATACATGACCGTAGTTTGGCGGGAATCCATCTAAAGGTTCTTGAGATAAAGCGATCACGAGAACGGGACGTACAGACAGACGGACGGACAACCCGAAAACAAAATGCCCCAGGCTACTTTGTGGCGGAGGCATAAAAAAGGGTGAGCGTGGTTGGAGAGAACGAAAGAAAGAGAGAGGGAGGGAGGGTGCGATAGAGATAGGGAGGGAGAGAAGGAGAGGAGAGAGGAGAGAGAAAGAGAGAGGGAGAGAGAAAGAAAGGGAGGGAGAGAGATGAGAGAGGGAGAGAGAGAGAGAAGAGAGGGAAAAGAGCGATAGAGAGGAGAGATATGGTGTAAGTGAAGTTTTCTTACGAGTAGTAGTGGTAGTATGTGACGTGGCGGATTCCGTTGTGTACTTTGTTGTGGCGTGTTGTGTAGTAGTTGATTCTTAAAGCAATATGATATGGGGATGGAGATGGTGGTAAGCGAGGAACGAAGGAAGGGGGGGGGGGGGTGGTGCCTAAATGTACTCGTACATAATTATATTAATGGGCCTTCCATGCTTTCGGCGGCAATACCTTGGACAATCTTTGACAATTTCCGTTTGCACCAAAATCACCCACTTCCTTAGAGGGCATGTGTGAAAAGATCATGATTCTTAACACCGAGATGGTGGTAAGCGAGGAACGAAGGAAAGGGGGGGGGGGGTGGTGTCTAAACGTACTCGTACATTATTATATTAATGGGCCTTCCATGCTTTCGGCGGCAATACCTTGGACAATCTTTGACAATTTCCGTTTGCACCAAAATCACCCACTTCCTTAGAGGGCATGTGTGAAAAGATCATGATTCTCAACACCTATCCTTTATATACTATTGCATATTTCTTAGTCTGAAAATATTTCGACATTGACTCCTCTATGATCTCAGAAAGGTCTAAATTTTCTAACGCATGCATACATGTTAGTAGTTGATAGGTTCTAAATTGTATAGTTATCATTATTGTTCAAGAATCATAATTTTCCAATGCCTACCCGATATAGAAGGAAGAAACAAAGAATAACATAAGGAAAGACGGATAGAGAAAGTGATAGAATGATTAAAAAATAAAGAATAACAGAAGAGAAAGTGATAGAAGGAGGAGACAAAGAATAACATAAGGAAAGACAAAAAGAGAAAGTGATAGAAGGAAGAAATAAAGAATAACATAAGGAAAGACAGAAAGAGAAAGTGATAAAATGGATAAAAGCAAAGAATAACATAAGAGAAGGTGATAGTAAGTAAAAACAAAGAATAACATTAGCAATAAAATAAGGAAAGACAGAAAGAGAAAGTGATAGAAAGTGATATAGAAGGAAGAAACAAAGAATAACATAAGGAACGACGGATAGAGAAAGTGATAGAATGATTAAAAAAACAAAGAATAACACAAGAGAAAGTGATAGAAGGAAGAAACAAAGAATAATATAAGCAATAACATAAGGAAAGACAGAAAGAGAAAGTGATAGAAAGTGATATAGAAGGAAGAAACAAAGAATAACTTAAGGAAAGACGGATAGAGAAAGTGATAGAATGATTAAAAAACAAAGAATAACAAAAGAGAAAATGATAGAAGGAAGAGACAAAGAATAACATAAGGAAAGACAAAAAGAGAAAGTGATAGACGGAAGAAACAAAGAATAACATAAGGAAAGACAGAAAGAGAAAGTGCTAAAATGGATAAAAACAAAGAGTAACATAAGAGAAGGTGATAGAAAGTAAAAACAAAGAAAAATAAAAACAAAGAATAACATAAAAGAAAGTAAAAGAAGGAAGAAAGAAAGAATAACATCAGAGAAAGTGATAGAAGGAAGAAACAAAGAATAACATAAGGAAAGACAGAAAGAGAAAGTGATAGAATTTTAAAAACAAAGAATAACATAAGAGAAGGTGATAAAAGAAAAAAACAAAGAATAACATAAAAGAAGGTAAGGAAGGAAGAAACAAAGAATAACATATGGAAAGACAGAAAAAAAGATAAAGAATATAATAAGAGTAATAACAGTTTTTGCATCGGAGTGCCGCGCATGCGCATTACCAACTGAAACACGCAAAAACATCACTGAGTTTTTCAGTCGGTGTTGTTTCAACACAAGTGTAAACGTGTGCGCGAAACATCGCAATTTTAGGAAATGAGGTATTTGGCAGTATAAATGCGCCAAGAGAGGGAGGGAGAGAAGGAGAGGAGAGAGGAGAGAGGAGAGAGGAGACTGAGAGGAGAGAGAAAGAGAGAGGGGGAGAAAAAGAGAGGGAGGGAGAGATTAGAGAGAGAGAGAGAGAGAGAGACGGAAAGAGAAAGAGAGAGAGACAGAGAGAGAGAGAGGTGGGGAGAGGTGGTGTAAATGAAGTTTTCTTACGAGTCGTTGTAGTAGGGTGTGAGGTGGTGGCTTCCGTCGAAGACATCGCTGTGGTGTCTTGTGTTGTAGTTGATTCTGAAGAAGAAATATGATATATACACCTGATGAAACACCCTGGGAGCAAATCAATTTAAAACCATATTTACAACAAATTTACCAATCTCACTGGATAAATCATCACATGCTATTTAATTCCTAGAGAGAAAGAGAGAGACATAGTGTAAATGAAGTTTTCTTACGAGTAGTAGGCCTAGTGGTAGGATGTGAGGTGGTGGATTCCATCGCAGACCTCGTTGAGGCGTCTTGTGTAGTAGTTGATTCTGAAAAAGAAATATGATATAAACGTCTAATGATAAACCCTGGGCGTAAATCAAAATTTAAATTCATATTTACCGAAATTTAACAAATCTTACTAGACAAATCGTCACATGATATTCAATTCCTATCTTTAGACGCCTGAGCGGCTGCCGAGAACAAGAAGTTGCTTCACGTTGTAGCATATATTGTATACACGTGAACGTGAAAGCGAAAGAGAGAAGCATGGATAGACGGAGAGAGAAAATTGGAGAGAGAGAAGGGAAGTGAGAAATCATATAAAATACAAATCGAGAGAGGAAAAAAAGAGGCAGAGGGAAAGAATGAGACAGACAGACAGACAGAGAGTGCGGGTTTGTTAGAAGATTGTAAACCGAAAAAGTGAGCATGGTGAGAGAGAGAGAGAGGGAGAGAGAGAGAAGAGAGGGAAAAGAGCGATAGAGAGGAGAGATATGGTGTAAATGAAGTTTTCATACGAGTAGTAGTGGTAGGATGTGACGTGGCGGATTCCGTTGTGTACTTCGTTGTGGCATGTTGTGTAGTAGTTGATTCTTAAAGCAATATGATATGGGGATGGAGATGGTGGAAAGCGAGGAACGAAGGAAGGGGGGGGGGGTGGTGCCTAAACGTACTCGTACATAATTATATTAATGGGCCTTTCATGCTTTCGGCGGCAATACCTTGGACAATCTTTGACAATTTCCGTTTGCACCAAAATCACCCACTTCCTTAGAGGGCATGTGTGAAAAGATCATGATTCTTAACACCTATCCTTTATATACTATTGCATATTTCTAAGTCTTAAAATATTTCGACATTGACTCCTCTATGATCTCAGAAAGGTCTCAACTTTCTAACGCATGCATACATGTTAGTAGTTGATAGGTTCTAAATTGTATAGTTATCATTATTGTTCAAGAATCATAATTTTCCAATGCCTACCCGATATAGAAGGAAGAAACAAAGAATAACATAAGGAAAGACGGATAGAGAAAGTGATAGAATGATTAAAAAATAAAGAATAACATAAGGAAAGACAAAAAGAGAAAGTGATAGAGGGAAGAAATAAAGAATAACATAAGGAAAGACAGAAAGAGAAAGTGATAAAATGGATAAAAACAAAGAATAACATAAGAGAAGGTGATAGTAAGTAAAAACAAAGAATAACATTAGCAATAAAATAAGGAAAGACAGAAAGAGAAAGTGATAGAAAGTGATATAGAAGGAAGAAACGAAGAATAACATAAGGAACGACGGATAGAGAAAGTGATATAATGATTAAAAAACAAAGAATAACATAAGAGAAAGTGATAGAAGGAAGAAACAAAGAATAACATAAGCAATAACATAAGGAAAGACAGAAAGAGAAAGTGATAGAAAGTGATATAGAAGGAAGAAACAAAGAATAACTTAGGGAACGACGGATAGAGAAAGTGATAGAATGATTAAAAAACAAAGAATAACAAAAGAGAAAATGATAAAAGGAAGAGACAAAGAATAACATAAGGAAAGACAAAAAGAGAAATTGATAGACGAAAGAAACAAAGAATAACATAAGGAAAGACAGAAAGAGAAAGTGCTAAAATGGATAAAAACAAAGAATAACATAAGAGAAGGTGATAGAAAGTAAAAACAAAGAAAAATAAAAACAAAGAATAACATAAAAGAAAGTAAAAGAAGGAAGAAAGAAAGAATAACATCAGAGAAAGTGATAGAAGGAAGAAACAAAGAATAACATAAGGAAAGACAGAAAGAGAAAGTGATAGAATTTTAAAAACAAAGAATAACATAAGAGAAGGTGATAAAAGAAAAAAACAAAGAATAACATAAAAGAAGGTAAGGAAGGAAGAAACAAAGAATAACATATGGAAAGACAGAAAAAAAGATAAAGAATATAATAAGAGTAATAACAGTTTTTGCATCGGAGTGCCGCGCATGCGCATTACCAACTGAAACACGCAAAAACATCACTGAGTTTTTCAGTCGGTGATGTTTCAACACAAGTGTAAACGTGTGCGCGCAACATCGCAATTTTAGGAAATGAGGTATTTGACAGTAAAAATGCGCCAAGAGAGGGAGGGAGAGAAGGAGAGGAGAGAGGAGAGAGGAGAGAGAAAGAGAGAGAGGGGGAGAAAAAGAGAGGGAGGGAGGCAGATGAGAGAGAGAGAGATGGAGAAAGAGAGGGGGAGAGAGGGAGAGATTAGAGAGAGAGAGAGAGAGAGAGACGGAAAGAGAAAGAGAGAGAGAGGGAGAGAGAGAGGGGGAGAGAGAAAGAGAGAGAGAGAGAGAGAGAGAGAGAGAGGGAGAGAGGTGATGTAAATGAAGTTTTCTTACGAGTAGTAGTGGTAGGACGTGAGGTGGTGGATTCCGTCGCGGACATCGTGGTGTCTTGTGAAGTAGTTGATTCTGAGGAAGAAATATGATATAATCACCTGATGATACAACCGGGGGCAAATACAATTTAAATTCATATTTACAGAAATGTAACAAATCTTACAGGACATATCATCACATATTTAATTCCTAGAGAGAGAGAGATAGTGTAAATAAAGTTTTCTTACGAGTAGTTGTGGTAGGATGTGAGGTGGTGGATTCCGTCGTAGACATCGTTGTTGTGTCTTGTGTAGTAGTTGATTCTGAGGAAGAAATATGATATAATCACCTGATGATACCCCCTTGGGGCAAATGAAATTTAAATTCATATTTACAAAAATTTAACAAATCTTACAGGACATATCACATATTTAATTCCTAGAGTGAGAGAGAAAGTGTAAATAAAGTTTTCTTACGAGTAGTTGTGGAAGGACGTGAGGTGGTGGATTCCGTCGCGGACATCGTGGTGTCTTGTGTAGTAGCTGATTCTGAGGAAGAAATATGATATAATCACCTGATGATACAACCGGGGGCAAAATACCTTTAAATTCGTATTCACTAAAAAATTTACTGGACAAATCATCACATTATATTTAACCCCTTGTTTTAAGCGCCTCAGCGGCTGACGAGAACAAATTCTTTGCTGAAGTTTTCTTACGAGTAGTTGTGGTAGGATGTGAGGTGGTGGATTCCGTCGTAGACATCGTTGTGGTGTCTTGCGTTGTAGTTGATTCTGAAAAAAAAAATATGATATATACACAAGATTGTACAAACGATCTGAGGGTAGAAATAGATTTGAATTCATATTTACCCAAATTTTACAAGTTTACTGGACAAATCGTCACATTATATTCAATTCCTAGCTTTTGACGCCTGAGCGGCTGCCGAGAACAAGAAGTTGCTTCACGTTGTAGCATATTGTATCCACGTGAACATTGAAGCGAAAGAGAGAAGCATGGAGAGACGGCGAAAGAAATTTGAATAGAGAAAGGGAAGTGAGAATTTACACAACATAGAAATCGAGAGAGAAAGAAAAGACGGAGATAGAAAGAGAGACAGAGAGAGAGAGAGAGACAGAGGGTGAGGGTGAATGAAGAAATTTAGAAAATGGTAATAACTAGATGGATCTTCGACTGCGCGCAGTCAAAAATGATGCCTCTGCCACGGAGTGATTTTACAAACCAAAACAGAAGCAATTTTTCAAATTCAAGTTTGATTGTAATCCATTAACAGGTTCTCAGAATATCGTGATTACAGGCTATTTTTCATATACATGTATGACTCTTTGCTCTTTTACCTCATGACCCTCAAATCTAATTAGTTCATTGGCTCTGCAAGATACATACACGTCTTGAGTTTGATAGTAATCCGTCCGTCGGTTCTATCGATATGTTCACAAGCTATTATTGCATACATAATGAGCCCCATGACATTTGAACTTTAACCTCATGACCCCAAAATCTAATCAGTTCACTGGCTCTGCAAGATACAAACCCGTTTTGAGTTTGATAGTAATCCGTCAATCGGTTCTAATGATGATGTAATCACGAGCATTTTTTTCCATACATAATGAGCCCTGTCACCTTTGATCTTGTGACCTCAAAATCTTATCAGTTCATTGGCTCTGCAAGATACATACATGACCCAAGTTTGGCGGGAAACCATCAATCCGTTCTTGAGATAACGCGATCACAAGCTATTTTAGCATAATAATAATAATAATAATAAATTTAATTTTAAGCATACATAATGAGCCCTGTGACCTTTGACCTCGTGACCCCAAAATCTAATCAGTTCATTGGCTCTGCAAGCTACATACATGACTAAAGTTTGGCAGGAATCCATCAATGGATTCTTGACATAACGCGATCACGAGCTATATTTGCATACATAATGAGCCCTGTGACCTGACCTTGGACTTCGTGACCCCAAAATATAATGAGTTCATTGGCTCTGCAAGACACATACATGACCCAAGTTTGGCGAGAACGGGACGTACAGACGGACGGACGGACAACCCGAAAACATAATACCCCCGGCTACTTTGTAGCGAGGCATAAAAAAAGGTGAGCGTGGTTGGAGAGAACGAAAGAAAGAGGGAGAGGGTGAGAGAGAGAGATGGTGAGAGAGAGATAGAGAGAGAGGGAGAGAGAGAGAGAGAGATAGAGAGAGAGATAGAGAGAGAGAGAGAAAAGGAGAGAGAGGAAGGAAGGAAAGAGAGAGAGAGGGAGAGAGAGGGGGGGAATGAGAGAGAGAGAGAGAGGAGACAAATGAGAGAGGAGACAGAGAGAGAGAGAGAGGGGAGGGAGAGGGAGAGAGAAAGAGAGAGAGAGAGGGGAGGGAGAGGGAGAGAGAAAGAGAGAGAAAGAGAGAGAGAGACATAGTGTAAATGAAGTTTTCTTACGAGTAGTAGTGGTAGGACGTGAGGTGGTGGATTCCGTCGCGGACATCGTGGTGTCTTGTGTAGTAGTTGATTCTGAGGAAGAAATATGATATAATCACCTGATGATACAACCGGGGGCAAATACAATTTAAATTCATATTTACAGAAATGTAACAAATCTTACAGGACATTATCATCACATATTTAATTCCTAGAGAGAGAGAGAGAGATAGTGTAAATAAAGTTTTCTTACGAGTAGTTGTGGTAGGATGTGAGGTGGTGGATTCCGTCGTAGACATCGTTGTTGTGTCTTGTGTAGTAGTTGATTCTGAGGAAGAAATATGATATAATCACCTGATGATACAACCGGGGGCAAATACAATTTAAATTCATATTTACAGAAATGTAACAAATCTTACAGGACATATCATCACATATTTAATTCCTAGAGAGAGAGAGATAGTGTAAATAAAGTTTTCTTACGAGTAGTTGTGGTAGGATGTGAGGTGGTGGATTCCGTCGTAGACATCGTTGTTGTGTCTTGTGTAGTAGTTGATTCTGAGGAAGAAATATGATATAATCGCCTGATGATACGACCGGGGGCAAATACAATTTAAATTCATATTTACAGAAATGTAACAAATCTTACAGGACATATCATCACATATTTAATTCCTAGAGAGAGAGAGAGATAGTGTAAATAAAGTTTTCTTACGAGTAGTTGTGGTAGGATGTGAGGTGGTGGATTCCGTCGTAGACATCGTTGTTGTGTCTTGTGTAGTAGTTGATTCTGAGGAAGAAATATGATATAATCACCTGATGATACCCCCTTGGGGCAAATGAAATTTAAATTCATATTTACAAAAATTTAACAAATCTTACAGGACATATCATCACATATTTAATACCTAGAGTGAGAGAGAAAGTGTAAATAAAGTTTTCTTACGAGTAGTTGTGGAAGGACGTGAGGTGGTGGATTCCGTCGCGGACATCGTGGTGTCTTGTGTAGTAGTTGATTCTGAGGAAGAAATATGATATAATCACCTGATGATACAACCGGGGGCAAATACAATTTAAATTCATATTTACAAAAATGTAACAAATCTTACTAGACATATCATCACATATTTAATTCCTAGAGAGAGAGAGATAGTGTAAATAAAGTTTTCTTACGAGTAGTTGTGGTAGGATGTGAGGTGGTGGATTCCGTCGCGGACATCGTGGTGTCTTGTGTAGTTGTTGATTCTGAAGAAGAAATATGATATAATCACCTGATGATACAACCGGGGGCAAATACAATTTAAATTCATATTTACAGAAATGTCACAAATCTTACAGGACATATCATCACATATTTAATTCCTAGAGAGAGAGAGATAGTGTAAATAAAGTTTTCTTACGAGTAGTTGTGGTAGGACGTGAGGTGGTGGATTCCGTCGCGGACATCGTGGTGTCTTGTGTAGTTGTTGATTCTGAAGAAGAAATATGATATATACACCTGATGATACAACCGGGGGCAAAATACCTTTAAATTCGTATTCACTAAAATTTTACTGGACAAATCATCACATGATATTCAATTCCTAGCTTTCGATACCTCAGCGGCTGCCGAGAACAAGATGTTGCTTCACGTTGTAGCATATTCTATATACGTGACAGTGCAAGAGAGAGGCATGGACAGACGTAGAGAAAAACAAATTGGAGAGAGAGAAGGGAAGCTGGGAAAGACAGATAAAATAGAAATCGAGAGAGAGAGAGAGAGAGTGTGTGTGTGAAGGGGGGAGAAAGAGAGAGAGAGAGAAGGAAATGGCGAAAGAGGGATAACAAAAGCAAATTCGAGAAAGAAACAGATATGCATGCACATCAGAGAGAGACAGAGAGACATACAGAAAGTATGAAGGGCAAAGGGAAGGGGGAGAAGAGAGAGGGGGGCAGAGAGAAATGAAAAGGGGGAAGTCAGACAATCGGTTGATTATAATGTACACTCACGCTACCCTTCCTTTTGACAAAGTTGATCATTTTGCTCGAATTTTACTGGACAAATCATCACATGATATTCGACTCCTAGCTTTTGACACCTCAGCGGCTGCCGAGAACAAGATGTCTCTTCACGTTGTAGAATATTCTATATACGTGAAAGTGAAAGCGAAAGAGAGAGGCAATGAAGAGTCGGAGAGAAAAAAAATGGAGAGAGAGAGAAAAGGGAAGTAGGGAAAGACAGATGAAATAAAAATCGAGAGAGAAAGAGAAAGGATGAGAGAGAGAGAGAAAGCGAAGGAGAATGAAAAATAAGTTGTGAGCATGGTGATAGAGAATGCTTGACAGAGAGACAGACAGACAGAGATAGAGAAAGAAAGAAAGATAGGGAGAAAAAGAGAGAGAGGGGACATGAAATGGAAAAAGAGAAGGAGAGAGAGAAGGAAATGAGGAAAGAAGGATAACAAAAAGCAAATTCGAGAGAGAAAGAGAAAGGCAGGGAGAGAGAGAGAGAGAGAGAATGGAAATCGGGAAAGAGGGATAACAAAAGCAAATTTGAGAGAGAAAAAAAAAGGCAGAGAAAGAGATAGACAGACAGACATAAAGTATGGAGGTAAAGGGGCGGGGGTAGAAGAAGAGGGGGAAGGGGGACAGAGAGGAATGAAGGGGGGGGGGTGTAACAATCGGTTGGTTATACTGTACACCGTTCGGTTGCTTTTTACAAAGTTTATAATTTTGCTCGAATTCAGGTTACTAGAAAAAATTAAGTTGTATATTTTAATTCCCCTAACCGACTTGTCAGATAATTATTGTGTTCTTTTTTATTCTCACGTTCATCGCAACGTTTTCCTCGATATCCGGCAGAGCAGTGGCATTTGAAGTTCGTCATAGTCTCCTCACACCAGCCGTTTCGACAGGTATTTTTGCCACAATCTGTAGTCAAAAGAGGGGACAAGACACTGCAATTATTGCTCAACCATAGGAATTTGATTGTTTAGGAATACTGGTAAACTTCTGCGACTCCCTCATACCTTTGATGTATATGATGTATCACTGTATTCTTTCAGGCAGGCTACTGCTACATGATGAAAAAGAGGAAGCCATGTAGTTACAGGCCAAACATAAACCTAAATCTACATACAATGACAAATTCAATACTAATAATAATGATAACAGCAATAATAATAATAATAACAATAATATAAATAATAGTTATCATTGTAATAATAGTAATACCACTGCTATTACTACTACTACTACTACTAATAATAATAATAATAATAATAACGATATGATAACAGTGATACTACTGCTGCTGCTATTACTGCTACTACTACTACTGACGTACGTTTTTGTATTGATTTGTATCC